ATGAAGTGTGACAAAAACTGAACACATGCAATATTACGTATCTATTTTCAGAAAATTTCTAAAATGCGACCAATGTTTGACATGCTAAATAAAAAATTCGATTTATTTGCCCCCTGTTGAAGAAGGTCACAGTTTGGACGAATTGATGGTACCCTATCACAGAGGCCATGGATCCAAACAATTTATTCGAGGCAAGCCAATTCGATGGGGATACAAGTTATGGACTGGAACGACAAAGCAAGGTTACATAGAATGGTTTGAGCCTTATCAAGGTTTGAAAAATGTTGTGTAGGAGCAAATATTGTTTTGTGATTTGCCGATGTTCTTCAAGTTCGATCACGAGACGCACCTTTTCACATATTTTTTGATAATCTTTTCACCTCTATGCCATTGATCAAAGAGCTAACAAAGAAGAGCTTGAAATGCACTGGTACCCTACGAGAAAACTAGATACTTGCCCACTAAAGTCATGTAAGCTTATGAAAAAAGTGCCACGAGGCACATTCGAATATACATTTGAAGAAAACAGCCATATTATGATCTGCAAATGGAATGACAATATCGTTGTAACAATTGCATCAAATGCCACCTCGCCATTTCCCACCGTCCAAATAAAAAGGTTCTCTCAAAAGCAAAAAAAACGTTCTTCCACAACCTTATTTGATAAAAAAATATAATGAGAACATGGGGGGGGGGGGGGGGTGTCGATCATGCAGATCAAAACAGGTTTGTACAGGGTGGCTATTAGTGGAAAGAAGTGGTATTTTTCGCTATTTGTTCATTGCCTTGATATGGCCGAACAAAATGCATCGCAATTGCATAAATACAATGGGAAAATGGACCACCTCACATTTAGAAGGTGTATAGCTACAGGAATACTGGAAACATATAAAAGGACATCAAAACGAAAGAAAAGTAAATATACCCATATGGAGTCAAGATATGATCGGCTTGACCACTTACTAATTTATCAGGAGAAACAAACCCGCTGTGCAGTCTGCCACAAACAAGCAGCGTTTAGGTGCCAGAGATGTGATATTGCACTACACCCAAAATTATTATTCCAGAGTTACCACACTAAAGAGTAAATTTCTGTACAAATTTAGGTTATATGTCAATATTTACCCATGTCTTCACTGTTTTGAAATTAATAAATTCCTTTGTATCGAAAGTAGTTTGAATTGCTACTGTCGGTTTAAACATACACTATCAAACTTCAAATCTATTAACTAAAATTTAAAAAAACACGAAAAATCATGTTTATAATAATAAAATAAACAACTTGATAAAGTTTTAGACAATTTGTTTTAAATAAATTCAGTTGTAGTAGTTCTTTGTCAAATAAAAAAATGACAAAAAAGTGATCAGAATTACATTTTTAACATGTTTTCAAAATATAACACCAAAATCATAATAAAAGTTTCATGAGCATCTGGAAAGCAAAAAACTTTAAAGAAACAACTAAGACGATGAGACCACGATTATGAGAATTTAGGGTCAATTCTAGAGCTGAACTTTGCTGGTTTGCCACTTCAGCAGGTTGTTAATAAAAAAAATAACGAGGGACTTGAGTCAAGACAAAGAATATACACAGAAATAGTGAAGCAATTTAGTCAACGAGAAATTTACTTTTTAAATATGAATGCAGTCCTGGTTTATTGAAGGAAGAATAGGAATGCCTTAAAGAGCCTTTTATAAAAGATTGTGGCATCGTAAACGCTGTCATATCTATCAAAGACAAATTATTTGGAGTGAAAGTGCTGGAAAATACGTTGGATATTGTGGCTATGGTGGTATTATTGGTTGAATCACAGACTGTAGCATCGGAAGCTTTGGTTTTTCTAATTGTTAGCTACAAAATGAATTTTAAGTGTCCCATTGGCTACTTTCTAAACAAAAGTGATGCAGATTTTCATGCACTATCATTATGTTGTATTAAAAATTTATTTAATGTCGAAATTACAGTTCATTCCATAACATGTGATGGGACGATCACTAATGTTCAAAGTTTAACTAAAATAGGATATTCATTGGTAATTCATAAGTCCTAACTGTAATCACCCATGTTCTCCGAGTAAAGTCAATTGTATATTAGATACTTGTCATGATCAAATTAGCACGCAATACTTTCGCCGAAAAGAATTAGGTCCCATAAGATGGATTTTTGTTGCCAAGTTAAATGATCTCCAGGAGAAAGCATAGAAATAGAAATATTTTGTACAAAAACAAAGTATCAGTTCAGCAGATGCTATAGACTGTTTGAGGGAAACCGGTCATTCAGACTTACAAAATTCCGAGGCTACTGTAGAGTTCATTAGAATTATTGACAGAATCTTCGAGGCCTCCATAAGACCAAAAACACTTAACTATTTCCGAGATATATTTGCTTCATCAACCGATTACTTGAAAAGATTAAACATAGATGATATTCCAGTACTGCAACATCCTAGAACACCTTTCGCTTTGGGTTATATTACAGCAATGGAAAGCACGTTCAATGTTGGCGTAGATTTAATAATAATAATTATTATTATTATTAAACCATCAGCTGGTGTATAAAAGGATAAGGGTCGCCAGAATGGCGATCTTCCACAGACTAATATAAACAAAGAAACTTAAACAAAGAATTGATAATATAAGCATATAGATGCAGGTTTATTAAATACATATCAAAAGATAAAGTGAAAGTGAAGGTATACATAAAAAAACAATACTAAAACAAGACAAAAAACAAATTTAAATATAAATATAAATTGTAACGAAGCATCCCGAATTAACGATTGGTTTGGTATTCGTTACATAAAAAACCGTACTTTCGAGAACTTTCCGCGGCGCCATGGAGACAAGGAGATACCGTAATTAATTAGTCGGTCTACGACCGTTCCTGTTGGAATTTGCTGGAACTGTCAGTTGCCGGTTAAATTTTCCAAACAAAAACGCACATATATTGGTATTATATTACTTTCTAACTGAATTTTACTCTTTTCTTTTTTGTTTCATTTGCGTTATTTTGGTGTAAGATTGACATATCCGAAATGCTTTCGGCAGAAAATCAAGCCCCTTGTATTTCAAACATTCAAAACATTGTTTCTGCAATTGTTTATAGGCCGTTTTAGTTTCCCATAATAAGTAAAAGGAAGGATAGAAACGAGTTATTTTGCTCGTTATCAGTTGGCGGCGTCAAGCGAAATCCGAATTTTGTGGAGATGGATACAGGGAAAATTCAACTCGTCGCGTATTTAACCCATGAAGGACGAAGTTTGTTTTTCACTGAAATTCTAGTTTTTATTATAATCACCTGCTTCGAATAACCGTTATACCAAAAAGTACTACTTGATAATAGAAAAAAATATATTATTTTTCAAGATAAGAGGTGTAGCCGTATGGCAACGCTAGTACCTTGCAGGAGCAGAATCTAGTTATTAGTAAATAATTGGAAAACTTTTGATAAAACATCTATTTTTCAATTTAACGTCTACAAATTTGTATGAAATTTGAAATTACACTAAGACATAATCCAACATTGCATTTCGAACGCATCGTTCTCATAATTGATAAAACATCCTTCACCAGCACATCGCCTTTTCTTTTTATCAGGACAAGGAACGAGCAAATGCGATGTATTATCGAATCGTATATCATCCGGCACTCTATTTGATGATCTGCTGGATGCACTGCTTGATGGTCTGCCACCTTGCTTAGGGGGATTACGATATCTTTTTAGATAGGTTTTCACTAGTTCTCTACGAAATTGTAATTGTGTGAGTTTGTTTCCTGTTTTTTTGTGTAATACCCAAGCGTTCTGAATTGTAGCATCTACCAACCATGTGAATAAACATGTAACCGGCTGGTTACTTTCCAACTCTCTTCACCGTCTCTTCTTAAAATCCTCTATTTGGGGGTGGTTCTTCTTATAAACATTAAGGGTTGTTGGGCGCCGGCTAGCTTCAGTCGATAATTCTTCTGGCCTCAAGGAGAGGGGAAAGGATAAATGAATAAAAATCAATAATCTTTATTAATACCTGTTGGGTTCTTTTTGTCTTAGAAATCGCCTTTTATCTGTAAGTAACACATATTAAAAGAAATGGGGGTGAGGCGGTACACACTCCTGTGAAAATAAAGTTAACTCATTCATACACAAAAAGTCACTGCATATAAAGGAAAATATGTATTTTATTATGTGAATTAAAGCAAAGTATTTACTCTCAAAACCGCCGAGTACAGAAAGAAAATTAATTCGTATTTCATAAATTCTTATCCACTTTAGTCGATAGTCAACACAACACTGCTGTAAATGCGTGTAGTAACGCTTTCAGGTAGGAGTCGTTTAAATGAATGCTAATAGTGCTGATAAGCACTAAATTGAACGCAACACTAGTAGGTAATTTAAATTGCCTTTACAAACATACCAATTTATAATAGTGTAATAATTAAAAATACTACAACGAAATAATCAATCTACAACAAGGCGAACTACGACGAAATAATAAATCGACAACGAGGCGAACTACAACGAATTATTGTCTACAAATACCTCTAGCTCATAAGTGCACCAGGACTTGGAGGTCACTTTGTCGCACGATCGATGTGGAAGTCGAATGAATTCGGACCGCCCACTGCAGGCTGCTATTCGCTTTTCAGTTGGACCAATCACAGGCAGGCTGGTTTATCTCGATCTCAGTTTGGTACTCTCCAGCTGGATTGCGCACGTACCGACAACGGAATCCTTGTCTTCTGTAATTTCGTAACTTTCCAATTTTCTTCGGCGCGCTGGGAAGAAACGTTTTCGTCTCCTACCAGGGGCGCACCCAGAAATTTTTTTCGGGGGGGGATAAATTTTAGTTATACCACCATTTTGTACCTCTGTACCTATGTAAATGTGGATTATGGATAATAGGACAGTCAATAAGTGATGTCATAAAAGTCCAAATTTTTCTGGATTTTATATATTTATATCAGTATAATACCTAATGTATAAATCCAAATAAACTAATTATGTACTAAAGTTTGATTTTTAGCTTCCTTGGTTTTTCGGACATTTTATTAAGGATTGATTCCACTGATGGAGTCAATTCTCTGAATATATGCAAGAGCGTTAGTCCATTAAGTCGAGTCTCGGATGTAGCATTTCGCAAGTAGTTCTTCAAACGGCGTAATGTCGAAAAAGATCTTTCATTTTCCGCCGTGGAAACAGGCAGTACTGCTAATATATGCAGTAATGTCTTTATGTTTGGGAAAACGTCATCAGCGCAATATTTTATTGCACTCAAAGCATCTTTAGGCCATTCCTGCTTGTCCAACTTAGCAATCAGTCTGTACCATAATTTCAGCTCTGCTGTTAGCTCATCCATGCTGCCATTTAGATCATCCTTATAAAATAAGATTAGAGACTTGAATTCTTCTAAAGTTTTATCAGTTAGACTATGGGGATTGGTTGGCAGTAAACACTGGAAACCCATCAAAATCTCTTTGTGCTTGGTGAATCTATCCTCTAAGTTGCCCAAAAAAGCATCCAAGAACGGGATATAAATCGACACTCGAAAATAATCTTCGACATGACTAACCTCAACATTGCATCTGTTGGTTTGCTTCGATGTAATCCGGGGTTGGGAAATGTCGATTCTGTGTCTACCAGCTTGCTCCTGAACGCCAGCAAATAATTTTGCGAACCCGGGCTTAGCATCTTCACGTAGCTTCTTTATTTCAGCTATTGTGTCTTCAGCTAAGTTTGCTGCCTTTCTCAAGTCGATATTCCGTTGCTGCAGCATCTTGCATAAAATACTGCTGTAAGAAAACACCTGATTTATTACTGACAATGCAATAACAAATTCGGCCTTTTTTAATGTGCAGTCAAGTTGATGAGCAGCATTTGCGGACTCCTTATCCGGCCATTCAGAAATTTTATGTAATGCCAGTATAATTCCATCGAAAAGTTCGACAAAAACCATTACAGAGTTGTATCTTTCGACCCATCTTGTTGCACAAAGCCGCTTTATTTTTTCGTGGGAAGATGCAACTTCCAATTCCTTCAGGCTTTCTTCCAGCACCAATTGCCGTTTTGGAGTGTGGAAAAAATTATATAGTGTTTCTATGGTGCCTAAACAGTTTCTTATTGCGGATACTTCACACGAATTCGAGACAGCCAAATTTAATGAATGAGCCACACAGTGAACATAAATCGCTTGCGGATATAAGGCTCTAACGTGCGCCTGTACACCATTAAACTGACCGCTCATAGCAGCTGCACCATCATACCCTTGGCCACGCATTTTACTCACATCGATCCCAAGGCGTTTAAGATTATCAACGATTGCAGTAGCAATTCCTTTGCCTGTGACATCCTCAATTGGGATAAACTGTAGAAAAAGTTCCTCCACAAATGTAAAAGATGGATCAACACAGCGAATACAGAGGGACATTTGCTCAGTGGTTGATATGTCAGTGGTCTCATCGACTAATACTGAAAAATATCCAGACAAATTTATCTTTGTTATCAGTTTTTGCAGAATAAGGTCATTGCTGATCTCAATAATCTCGTTCTGAATGTTCCAGCTTGTATAAAGGGCATTTCTTTTGCTATTAAGCAGGGTTCGTTGCAGAGTTTCATCATATTTGGCCCTATATCTCAAAATTTCTCGGAAGTTTCCTTCATTATCATCTTTTTCCGGGTCTACAATAATTCGTCCTCCATCTCTATGTCCTCTCAAAGCCAACCCTTGTTTTCCGCAGAGAAGAACTGTTTCTATTATGGGCTCCAGTGTTTTTCGATTTTCCAGAATTTGGTTTTTTTCCTCTTGATTTAATTGCAGATTAATTGGATCCTGTTTTCCTTTAACGATGTTGGTAATGAGGGCGGCGTTTTCAACGTTGTGCTGGTGATATTCACGTGTTTGATGTTCGGTGAAACGTTCTTTGGCTTTTTTCCAATTGCAGAACTTTTCTGTACATAGTTGCCCAACTTTCTGATGTTTTCCCAACCCTACTCCGGTATTTGTGTTGAATAAAACACAACATTTACAGTACGCACCGTCCACTTCCTTGGAATAGCTAAGCCACTTCCACTGGTGGAACCATTTGTGTTGAAATTTCAAATTTCTATTACCAGATGAGGGAAACTGGAATGTTTCTGTCGGCTGCCACAGCTTCTCCAATATTTCGACTTTCCTGCTATTTGCCACGTCAATTCCTGGGAAATTTGCAATATCATACTCGTGCTCGGCCCTCGAAATTTCGTATTGCGACTGCAACTCGTCATCATCTTTATTGACTGGAGGATTCTTCGGTAACTCTAGAATAATAAAACTGAACTGTAACACTGAAGTATTGGTAGGTAACTTAACTTACCATCATCTGAATTTGGTGTAAGCTCCACTCTCGGCTTTTTTCTAAAAAAATCCAACACTTGGAGTTGTCTTTTACCTTTTGATGTCATCGTCAATAAAATTATTAACAATAACGACACGACACGACTTCACGCACGTGGGTGGAACACTGAGCGACTGAGCGATTTCGGGTAATGGATTCCTATGGCTCAAGTTTGACTTGCGCGCTCGCGCTGCTGCCGGGCCCGGGTGGGAATGGCATGCCGGCAGGGCGCCAACATTTAAAAACCACTCGTATGTGTGTTTGGCTTGTCGAACATGGTGTTACCTATATAAAATTTCGGAGGGGGTTGTAACCCCCAAACCCCCCCCCCCCCCCCATGAGTGCGCCCCTGTCTCCTACGCTGGCTCGATGTAGATTATTTCACTCGGTTCTTTTGCTTGCTTTTCTTATAAAAGTCGCCTTAACGCTTTATTAATCTTCGCGCTTATAATTTGCGGGCGCGACTGACATAGATGTTGCTCCGTAAAACGGCGACGAGCAACAACTCTCCTGGTGCTTGAAATCCCCGTATTTATACTTTCTCACTTAGTATCCACTGACCTCAATTCGCTTTATCGCGCAAACTCGCACATGTATAAATAGTTTGAACGCCCGTGACTTAAGCTTTTGACACTTTGGCAGCGGTAGAAAATAGACGGATTTGAATCGCTCTACTAGCTCTCAACTAATTATTTACAATGACTCGGACTTTGACCTTAGCGTTAATACTCGCTATTTCTATGCAGTTTTGTACCCTAATTTACCTATTTACATACGATGAATGCAATTCTATTTACGTCGCGATATTTACTTATATTTAATTCTCTTTCTGCGTCATAGCGGCTATCTTTGAAATGCATACTCAGCTACAATAACTTAAAATAAACAATTCTCCTTTAATTGCATTCCCATTCAGTCACATCATTCATACTTGGGAGTCATGATTACATTTAGACTGGACACTTGAATCACGTAAAAATAAAAGTTTAAATAAGCTGTACAGAAATACTGTTACAAACACCACCACCATTTCTTCCCTCGTAGACCAATTCGGTAGCGTGATATGTTTTCATCCATTAGGTCAGTCCCTCCCATAGCTGAATTATATTTACCAATTACGCAAGGTCTGTATCTGAACGTTTTTTTTTCGGCTTCACTTGTCCTATAGGCGAAATGCCATCCGACGTTGAAGCTACTGTCACTATATTGTTATCAGACCATCTTACCAAGCATATGCCATTAGTTCTGTCGATCACAGAATCATATTCCCCTCTTATTTTTCTTTTCTTCATTGCCACTTTTGAGACCAATGGACATCCTTTTGGAATACGGTTGTCTCTTATGGTCCCAGTAGCTGAGTATCCTAACTGTTTGAAGTAATGAAGAAGACTAAAGCTTGTAAATAGGTTGTCAAAGTACAAGAAGTATGGTAATATCTTTTTTTGATCACACAGATCATTCAAAATCATAGGAAATGGAGCAGCTGCTTTTCCAAACGCTGCTTGATGATCAGTAGATATTTTCGAGTCTGCTCCTTGGTAAATCATAAAATTAACGAGATATCCTGTTTTCGTGTTTATGCTCCAAACCTTATATCCAAATCTTATACGTTTGCCCCTTATAAACTGTTTACACGAATGACGCCCAAAATATTTTACCATCGACTCATCTTAATTCAATTCCTGTTCAGGTATATAATGATTTAAAAATTTATGTTGTAATTTTTCAATGAATGGTCTCAGTTTGAAAAGTTTATCATTTGGATTCACATTATTGTTGTCCCCGCAGTGTAAAAATCGAAAAATGTTATGAACTGATCACGTCTCATCGCTTCTATGACCAACGCATTTCCCATGTCCCCATCTGTATCCCAGTAAACATTTTTTCCAGGCAAGGTATTATATCCCGACAGAATCAATATTGCCAAAAAACACTTCATCTCTTCATGGTTAATTTTCGGGTTAGGACTGTTCTTGAAGTATATTTTGTAGATTCCGAAACAAGAAATGAGATCATTTCATCGTCAAAAAACATTTCAAACATTTCCGTTGGCGTAAAAAATTTATATAATTCGTAATCTCCGGCTGGAAATTCTTTGACTGTGTTTGTAATATCACCTTTTATCCATTCTATTTTGCTGTAATCTAGTTTTTTAACGTTTTCATGGTTTTTCCAAACGTTCCCGTGATCCTCTTCAATACAACGGATTCCGATTTCGGCAGGCACTCTCAGTTGATTGCTAGATAAATTATGCGGGGGGAGGATTGGGTCCCCGCAGATCGGTTCGCCGCCTTCTTCTTCGGTGGTGTCTGTTGGTGCACTTCCTCCTCCAAGCCTTCCACCCAATCAAGGACTTCAATTTCAGAGTCGGACCTTCTAAAAAAAAGAAAAATCCCCAAACTTAGATGGTCAGTCACAGCGGTGCAACAAATAAATCCCCCATGACGGAACGGTATACGGATACGGTATCAAATTTATACCGGCTACCTCGAATAACTAGGCGCTTGGTAAGAAATGCAAAAACGTAAATAAATGACAAAGTTAATAATTCTTAGTATTTCCTTTTAAACATACTCAAAGAACAATTCATAAACATATAGGTATTATTTAACGTTATTACCGCATTGTACACAAATGAACTTTTATACTTGCGGTATGTATGATGAGGTATGGTGTAAGTATTATGACGGATAGCTACTGTATGTGAATCCGATTTTTTTTTTAAAATAAATTGTAAAGGTAGACAGGTTTTTAACTAACTTATCACGAAATAAGGCAAATAAGTACTTCATTCTACACTTACCATTTAATTGGATTATACCTATGAAGTAATGGGGTAATGTGGTCTCGAAAGGGATCATGAGTAACAAAACGAAAGCAAGCATTTTGCACTTGCTGCAGTTTATTTCTTGCAGTCGAAGTTAAACAATTATAATAGACACAACAACCATATTATATTCCAAGTGAGAATATTATAGGCACTTAGTTAAGTGATTTCAGCTTCAATTCTGGTCAAACAATATGCCTAGGATTTTGGCTTCATTGACCCATTTAATAATACTATCGTTAATGGTTGTTTAAATGGATTTTGTTGCGAAAACAATCACTATTTTACATTTTATAAAATAAGCAAATGGAATGCATCAAACCACCATGACATTCTACTTCTACCTTCAAAAATTACGTGTGTAAGTAAGAAATAGCCACATTATTAAGTATCTATTTTAAGATATACAGGGTGATTCCTATAGTACCTGCCACCGTTTGGGAGCGTATAGGGGGTGCCTAGGGGAGTATTTTGATATAGGACACTTGGGGTCGGAAATCTAAAATAAGGGCGCCAGAACCAAATTTATCTTCTGGAATTTCACGCCTGTATGTAGGCAACCCAACCGACCGACGTTTCGCGCGGAGCGATGCAGAGCGAGTTAGCGCGAGGAAGCGACATGGGAGGGAAGGAGGGAAAACGACAGTCAAAAGCAATAACGTTTACAAGTGTTCAACGTGGCCACCGTTGTTCTCAATGCACTTCCTACATCTAGCCAACTATTATTATACTATTGCCATAGTGTTTATTCACTTGATACGCGTCGTTGCAGACGGGATTTCGTGGGTTTTAACAAAATTCTGATCAAGTGTCAGCCACACATCGCCGCCTGAGATCGCTCCGTGTGCACCGCCGGCCGGTTGGGTTGCCTACCTACAGGCGCGAAATTCCAGAAGGTAAATTTGGCTCTGGCACCCTTATTTTAGATTTCCGACCCCAAGTGTCCTATATCAAAATACTCCCCTACGCACCACCTACACGCTCCCAAACGGTGGCAGGTAATATAGGAATCACCCTGTATTTATTTATTTGTATTTTTAACCAAACAAATACATGATCGTGATCGGTCCTACATATGCAAAAACAACGTGTCTGGCAGACAAGGATGAGAATACCTACGTTATGCTGGTTGCCTAAAATCATTGCGGCACGCGATTTTGGTGCTCGATGCCGTTCCAGTTAAAAAGTATGTCAATAGCAGTCATATAGCTCGCACTGTGGTCACTTGTTTAATGATAGTTCGTTCTGAAATAGGGCAAAACTAACAAAAAAGTATTCACAAATGGCAATGAGGAAATTCTCTTGCCCAGTACCGGACACGTTCGTTACTCATTGATTTCTATGATATATAGTAATTTTTTTCTATACCATTATATTTATTATTACTTATTGTGTATTATAATGAAACAAAACATGTTTACGGTTATTAAAAAAATATATATGTTGTACAATTTTCACACTTATAATATGTAAGGTTTCCATCCCTGCATGCTTCATGCGCCCACCCTTTTAATGAAGTACACTGTACCTATCCACTCTTCATTTGTAGTGCCCAAAACTCTGGTACATCCAGTAAACGATACATAATTTTGCATTCATCTCAAAAGCATAAATGTTTTTTGTAAATTAATTTCCGCGGTCTGTCGCCAAAATTCAATAGAAAGTTTCTCATTGTTTTCGGAATTTTATTCCCTTTGTTTCTGCAACTCTCTTGGGCTTCTACCTATCATTACAGGTATTGGAATCACTTCCCTGTGGACAATATTGTAAATCTGTTATAAAAATCACGAAAGCTTCACTTACGCAAACTAACAGATGCATTAGTATATTCCACTTGTCGTGAAATCGGTTTAGCCGAAGCGAGCTCTTTCCTAAATATCGCCTTAATGTCAACTAAATAATACTTTCATTTTAAACATTCACAATCTAATGGGTTTGTGGGTTTTTGCTCTAAAAAATACTGTTTCTGTTACTTTTGATAGTAAACTATTAATGCACTCCTGACACGATATTCTACTTTATAGTGTTGAATGAATGATTATTTAAATGACAGAATACAAGGGTACCTATATAATCTCAATAATTTATGGTAAATGTAACGACAATTAATGTAACAGGTCATAATTCACCCATAAACCGAACGGCTATAACAATCCCTCTGTTGGTAATAATCTTATAAATCTAGTCAACAAGGTAATACTCAGCGAACCATTGAAATAAGTAGACAAAGATTAACGTACCGTATGTAGTTTGTAAAGCATGACACAACAGCGATGAAAGTTCAGGTGATTGCAATCCTGCCAATAGCTTTTTTTTTTGTTATACCGTGTACTTCAGGCAGTATACACACGTTAGAGTTTCCGCATGATTTAGTTCCTCAGCTT